GAGCAAACTCAGGGAGGCAGTGAAGGACAGGAAGGCCTGGCGTGATATGGTTCATGGGGTCACAGCAGGTCGGACATGACTTAACGACTGAACAACAACAACAAAAGTTGTAATATTCTGGGAAGAAGTAATTAGACATATTGATTTGACTTTGAGAGAGGTTTTAATATTTTTGGACCTTCATATTCTTTTGATCAATACACCTATTACTGTACACGGAAACCGATGGCTGAACAACAGGAGGGGATTCTTCATGCCCTTTTTATTACTAACAGACTAGTCCAACATTGGAAAGATAAATCTATGGCCCCATTTATTCAGTGGATTGAAAACCTGGTGCTACTTGCAATGCACGGACAAGTTACTTACAGGCATAGATTAGATACGGATGATTACACTGAAATGTGGTTATCCTTTTCTAAAACTGCTGTGTAAAATTACATATACACTCACAAACACACACCCCCACACACACACATTTAAAATGATCATTTTTCTGCTTTTTCCTCTTTCACTATTGTCTTCCTCCTCCTCCTCCTCCTCCTCCTCTTGTTCTGTTGTATTCAATCAGCAAAGGCCAAGTAATTGCCAGATAGCGCCAGGCTGGCCTCCTTCTGGCTTCGCTCTTCGATGCTCTGGCTCCGGCCAGAGGATTACCAGCCAGATCATCGGTCCCTGCTGAATAGCACTTGGGCAAACAGACTGTTGCTGTGGAAGCAAGGGGACCCAGGGAGGCCTCCAGCAGATTTAAAAGGGAAAAATAATTTCTCTGGATTCAAGCCCTGCGGCCACAGACCACATTCCCTCCCTATCTACAGGCGATCTGAAGACAAAATGGTAAACCTGGTGGGATACAAGAGAGAAAGGGAGAGAGAATGCTTCTGCCAAAGCCACCAGCTGACCAGGTCTGGGCCCGAAGCAAAGCAGGTCCGATATGGTCAGGAGATAGCCTGCGAGGGAGAGCACAGGCAGCCTGCTCAGCAGTTCTGCAGGCTATGCTGGGATCTAGAAACCACCTAAGAGGCGGCTCTGGAAAACACTCCCACCCCGTTGCCCAGAAAGCTGCACTGTTGTGTCCACGGAGTCACCAGGAGTCAAGCATGACTCTAATTTTCATGCAGTCCTTTAACCGATCACAGAACCCTGGCGTTGGAGGTCTTCTAGTCCAACCCCTGCCCAGGGCAGGGATCCTCAGACCGTCTCAGTGCAACGACCCAAGACTGAGCTACAAGTCTGCCCATGGACTATTAGCATCAGAAAACATAAATGAATTCCCAGGGATTTAGATCCATTCACGCAACAGGAGGTGTCACCAGGCCTATCAACAGCTCCCAGATGGACCGGGCAGGTAACTAGAGCCTCCAGCCTCAGCAGCTGAGGGTCAGAGCCTTCTCCTCTTGCTTGGGGGCCTGCAAAGATGCCTGGGCCACAAGCCTGCTGTGGGTCGGGTGGATCTTTAGCCTGATCCAGCAGGGTTTCTTACCACTTTTCAGACTGCAGTACCCAGGCCCCTATGCCGACAGTGGTGTATGGAAACTGTAATTTAAAAAAAAAACCCTAAGTAATGCTGGATGGACTATCCTGACAGAAGGGGCTTGGGTAAACGGCACCCGGCTGCATTCATTCCAACGGGCAGCGGACCCACCGAATGAGCAGGAAGATGCAGAGTCTAGTATTTCTCCAAGCCTTTCCACCAGGAGGACAGCCTCGACCCAGATCCATGCAGTAGACTTCCTCCCTCTGGGAATGCCTTTCTGCCACGAGAGCCCACTCCCCTGGGCATGTCACCCACTGTTCCACTGAGATGGTTCCTGCCCCAGATAGAAGGGAAACGGGTGCCCTAGACAAGAGGGCCAACTTCCTTGATTAAGATATATTCTAATACATTCCTAACAATAATAATCTACTCTCTTCCGCTGCAATGACAAAGCAGAAGGGTCCAGTCTGAGGCAGCAGAGTTCCTAACAGAGAGCATTACCATAGTATTTCCCACGCCAAAGGACATGATCTCTCTCCATCTTCAAAATTACTGATTAAATTAGGACTGGAAAACGCAGTTCTGGTGAAGGGCCCCCAGAGCACTATTTCTTCAAGAGCAGGCCCAGTGGGCTAAACCTCCTCAGCGTTTGGTTTCAGGCATTCAGCGGATCGGCAGCAGAGGCTCCAGCCTGGCACTGCCGCGGCCAAGGGCTGCCTGGCGCTGCTGGGTTGGGGCAGGCTGACCGAGCCGAAGCCAGATCCCCAGCAGGCCTGCAGGCAGAAGCGACCGGCGACTCCTGAAGTGTGCAAAACCCAAATTCCTTCCGCTCCCGCTCCCCCTCCTCCCACTCGTATCCAAACGGCAAAACATTTTCCTTACTAGGGCATGGCAGAGAAGTCCCATCCGAGGGCTTTGCACTAGGTTCACCCGGGGGAAGAGAGGCAGTTCTCGCAAGCGAGGCAGAGGACACGGGAGCAGGCCAGAGCGCGGCCAGGGGCCTCCCCCCGGGAAGCTGAGCAGAAGCCGTGGCTCTCTGGGAAGCTCTTGCTCGTAGCGCGGGCTCCGATTCACCCAAAGAGAAAGCCCCTGATGAGTCCCAGAGCTTCCTCATCAGCTCTGCCCAGCTCTGTCCTCAGCGGGGCAGGGCGCCGGACGCCGTGCTCCCAGAACCGCGATCGTCCCGACAGCTGTGCAGACGGCGGCACTTAAGCACCCGGCCAGGGGCCTTCGCTTGAGCTGGGCGCAGGGGAGGAGGCTCCAGGAAGGTGAACGAATGGGCCGCTGGACAGGGCAGCAGACAGACGTAGCCCCTCTGGCCACCCTAGGATTTCTGGGCTGGCAGGGGTACAGTGCTGGGTTAGCTGGGTTAGCAGCGCTCTACCCTTCTCTCAGGGCCCTCCCAGGCGCTGCTGGGTTGGGGCAGGCTGACTGAGATTTGGGGAGAATTCTGGGATATCTCTGTGTTCCTTTGGCTCCGCTCAACGGGGGTGTGCAGTGTGCTAAGGTGGTTGAAATGCAGTTTGTGGACTAAACCACAATCAGTTAGGGCCACGCAACATGCTGAGTCATAAACCATGGTTTATCAACGGCAAGGAAGCCACGATTGCTTAGCGCCTCTCTCAGGGCAGAAGGGGACCCAAGTTCTCCCTCCGTGTGGCCCTCAACAACGTGGTCAAGCTACGGCCCCCCCGCCTCGGCTCACCAGGGCACAGGGAAGGGTGCTCTTGGTGCATGGCTCGGTAGGCATCGTCCTTCCTGGCACCAGCCTTGGCAAACAGCCCTTCCTGTTCACCTGCCAGTGAAAGCCAAGTGGGCTAAGAGCCGCAACTCCTGCAGCTCCTTCCAGCTGACGAATCATTCCCGGAATGGAGAGGCTCCTCTCCTGTATCCAGTTCTCCTAGAAGAAAGAGCTTTTAGTGCACCAAGAATCGGCTTTCGGGTGATATTTGCACGCCGTGATTTTATTCTACCTGGCAATTGCTCCGTCCGAAATGCCTTAGGCAAGCTGGCTCCAGTTCCAGCCACCTTCTCTTCCCAGCGGCTCCAACTGGCCCTGCTTTGAGCCCCCTGCAGGGACCTGGGTCAGCCCTCCAGTTCTCCTGAGGCTATTTATGACGAGAGAAAGACGAAGGCCTGCCCAGAGGCTGAAGCGGGAACAAGGATTTTCAGAATCCACTCTCTCCAAGTGGATTAAACCCTCTGCTATCACCAGCAAAGAAAAACATATTCAATGGGTAGAGTACTTTCCTGTACCTGAAAGAAGGTTTGGGCTGGCCACGATGACTTCTAGGGCTAAACAGGGGCAAAAATGCCTGGGCAGCTTGGAATAAAACCACACATAATCCAAGAACGCCAAGCCCAGCAAGGAGCGATGTGCTAAACAGCACAGCTTCCCACAGCCTGGTCCCTCCCAGAGGTTTTGGACTGTCATCTCCAGCCCGCCTGGCCCAAAGCACTGGGCGAGTCTGAGCCAGTCAATCTTGCTCAGCTTTACTCACTTCACAGAGTTATGAAAATAAAACAAGGCGGGCAGGAGAACCACAACAGCGTCTCTCAACTACTTAATATAAATAAAGTATATTTATAAACTACAGTTATAACCCTACAGTTATGACTTCTTTGACTACACAGGACCCCAGCAAATCCACGCTGTCCATATTTTTTAAATATTTATTTATTTATCAAATTTGACACCACCCATCTCGTTAAAAAGCAATTCTGGGCGGTTTCCAGAAGAGATAAGATCCATTAAAATACAACATAAAACCATCTTAAATAATTAATAAATATTCTGCATGCTCCACCCCTCACACAAGGCGGACACAGAATTAGAACAAAAGAAAATATTTTCTCAATCTCTATGACTCCTGGATTTACAAAGCTTAGGCCACAGCCTTCAGCTCCGCCAGACTCTTGCAAGAAGCCCTTCTCGATTCAATTAGCTTTGGTTTCTTTCTTCATTAAAACTTTCCTCCAGGACAGATCGACAGCTGCTACAACTGAGAGATTGTTTTAACACACAGTATTGTTTTTTACACAGAGTATACAGTGCAATCTGGGTGGAACCGCAGATCATATCAGAGAAGATGTTTAGGGACAGCCCACCACACTTCAGGTTAACTGGGAGGCTTACACGGAAGACAAAACCCGCACAAGCGTGGCCTGTTCTACCGGGAACAATCTGCCCCCCACTCACAAAATCAACCAAGCCGCAGAAATTACAGAGGAGACACCGTCCATCTCCTCCTATAACTGCCCTCAGTTGCTGCCAGGAGTTGCAGTTATGGGGGATGATACCCACATGGAAGACTGCAAGGCAAAAACAGCAGACCAGAAAGAAAAATAATCCTTATTTTAGCAGCACCGGGGATAAGAGCTGAAACAGGCCAGAAGTCCAAACCACGGGGCATGCAGGACAAGGGTCTTCTATGCCTAAGGGGCACAGCAGATAGCTGCTGACATGCAAGGGGGGGACCTCTTCAAGAGGTAGTCCCCATCCAACATCGGCAGGGAAGAAGCATGAGCTGTGGGCCAAATCCAGCCCACTCTCCTGCCGTTAATTCTGTGGGAGTCCCCGTGGCTTCTCATGGACTACAGACACAAAGCAAAGCAACGAAATGCCAAACTGAATATTATAACTTCACTTCCCTAAACTTTTAAAATTGTTAGATTACAAATATGAAGGGTTAAAGATGACAACCACAGTCAGGCTGGTATTCCCAAGATGGCACAGTCACCCGCCAGGCCAAAATCCAAGAGGGTCCAAGCACGGACTTTCTGCAGTCAAAGAGTCTGGCCCAGCCATTCAGAGATCAGATCTCAGTCATCACGGTGGACAGTCTGGTGAAGACACGGTACAAGAAAAGCGCACCAGAAGAATAACTAGGAAGTTTTAAGAGATTAGCGGTTAACATCAAGAGCCCTTAAGCAGTCACGTGTACAACACTGTCTGTGAAGAGAAGGTGCCAAAAAGCTACTCAAAAGTTCAGTTCTCTTCCTTCCTCTGAAAGGTGTCCTTTGTGTAGAACAAGAACACGATCTCAGAAGGAACTTGGCTACAGTTTATAACACTGGGATCAGTGTGGGGAAAAACAGGACTTTCCTTCCTTTTGCTGTAGAGCCAAATGGGGCTGGCAGGCAGGAGATCCAAGCAGCCAGAAAACAGAGCTTCTTCGTATAATGTGCCACCAGCTCATTCTGGAATCTGCCACCCAAACAGGGCTTGAAGGCCTCCACCTGAGAACAGAAGGGTCGCCACACACCTGTCCTTGGCAGCTGAGTAACAACAGAAGGAAGCAGCTGCCTTGGTAAATCCACTTGTGGCCATCCCATAACCCTCTGTCTGACTTCACCTCAGTTAAATGGAACTTAGTTCACAGAATAGTCGGAAAAAGTCTTTAAGACAAGTGAATCCTGCCCAGCACGGGATTCAGAACTGAAGATCCCACACGGCCTCGGCCTCACTGGGCAGACCATCTGCAAAGGCACCGTGGGGGGAGAAGACCTTTCCCAGCGCCACCTCTGCCCCGCGGCCATCCTTCACGCGCACTCACTGCCAATGAAGCCACACGGCCAAGATTCCTCCCCGCGCCCGTCTCACGCCACACAGTTCTGGCCATCGCAGCATCCCCCGACCTGCACGCTCTGCCTTGGGGAAGAACGGCCGGGCATTTCCATTCATTTTTTTTTTGAAACAGAAGACTAGGGGTAACAAATGCATTATTTTGGTCCTAGAAAACCATCACCGAGATGGCCGGGGGCAGGGGAGGGAATGCTTTTTAAAAAGGCTAGAAGCCTTACATGGGCTTTTTGCTGAAAGAAGAAAAGGCTGAACTGACGATCTGTGGATCTAGGGATTACAAAGGGTTAAAGAGGGAGGGGAAGGAATAAGGTGGCAGCTACTTGATAGAAAGAAGGGCAGAAGTCAAAATTCTGTTTTCTTTTTTCCACTTCCTTTCTTTTTTCTTATTTCCTATCTTTCTTCTTACTCTTATTTTTCTTTTCATTTTTCATACTTTTATTGCATTGTAAAACTCTAACAAAAATATTTAAAAAGAAAGAAGGAAAACCGTCACCCAAGGAAGCCACAAGGAACAGCAGCACCAAGTGCTGTTCCGGTCTGATGGTGGCCTCGTTCATTGCTGATTTTGCTTTTGCGACCAGGCTAATTTTTTTTACCCTTTTATTATTATCTTATTCCTAACTGGAAACCGCCTTGTGAAGCCTTTGTATTAAAACGCCTGGGGTATAAGTATGTTAAACAAGTAAGGAGACGCTTTCTCTAACTGGCTCTCCCCATCAGCTGCCCTTCTTTCCAGCAGAACGCCGGGCACGACACCTTGCTCAGCTGCCAGGCCGAAAGCACCCTAAGGTGAAGACAAGCTGAAGGAGACAACTGACTCCCACCCCGCTGCAAACCACGGGAGGCGAGCGGATTGCACATGGACCGAAGGCGGACAGGCAGGACAAGGAAGATGGGCAGACAGTTCCTCGGGGCTCTTTCAGGAGCCAAGGGCTTACGACTCACTGCACCCCCCACTTCCCCTGATGGGAGGAGGGTCTACTAACCACTTCTTGAGGATAAGGACATACCACGGAGCCCCTAGCCCACCACAAAGGCGACATTTGCTTGTCTTTTCTTGTTAAAAGAAAGGTTTTCCACCTTCGGCCAGCCCAGGTGACCCCGCGCAGCCTCCCTGAAGTTCAAAAGCCCCCACTCAAAGTGGCAACTGACCGCATGCCACGGCAAGGACCCCCTGCTCCTCCAGCCCCTAGCTGGCGCCCCCCATCAGGTGAAACTGACCCACGTTCTGGCAG